CATTTCACCCTCAGATCTCAAGGTCTGTGGCCATTGGTAATTTTTTAGGAAATGATTTAGTTCATGAAGATTCTCTCCACCCTCATCAGCACATGTCCTTTAGGTGCCTATTTTGCACTGGATAGGTGATTGACTTACGCATCCACTCACTGAAATAATTCCATTTTCTCATGCTTCTGTGGGTGCAGGCTCTGAAGGTGAAATGAGATGTGAACTATCCCTCTTCAAAGTTCCAGTATTAAACAATTATGACTTTCATTCAACCATTAATGCTCTGACAATTCCTTAAAGTGCTGTGCTTGAGCCCAAAACCACAAGTTTCAAAGCCAGTTCTATTTTTTGAAACTACAGTCTCAAATCTCTGAAGCAGCTTCTAGACTCTTAAGTCCTAGGCAGTCACTGTCACTTCTAGCATTGGCATAACAAAGGTGACAACTGGGATAAGAACAGATAGGAAAATAATAAACACCAGAAAACATGGCATTCCAAAGAACCCTCCCTCCCCTGGGGATACAGGGATTGGTGTAATGAGTTTCTTTACTACAAGGCATCCTCTCCTCAGGAGGTCATAATGTTGAATACTCCTGACAGCTCAATCCTGTCTCAGCTATTGCTTTAGGATTGTGCAGTATTGAGAGTCAAAGCAGATAAAGATGCTTTAGATCCTATGTATTACTGTAGTACATGTTGGCAGCCCCTTAAAGGGCTTGCAGAGTAGCTGTGCATGCTCAGGAAAGTACTCATTCTTGTTCAGGAGGTATAGTTGGAAGTAGCCGGATATGAAGACACCCAGACAGCTCCTGGCAATGGTGTCCAGCAGCACTCACTAATTTGTCCCATCCATATCCACTGCCAAAAAACAAGCATCGATTGTCCTTCAGTGCCATCATGTGGTTTTATCTCTCTGCTATTACCTTGAATTTCTTTGTTGACTTGTCTCAATTCCCAGTTATCGATAACCTCCAGATGACTATTAATTACTGTTTTCTGATTTCTGTTTGATAAATAGCCTTGTCAACTGATGCACATGAATGTGCAGTAATAGCATCATTGGATGCAGAAAAGGCTTTTGTCACACTGGAATATGACTAGATTGTAAATATATTTTTTCTGTTGGATTAAAATTGCTGCTCTTCATTCCAGGAGTGTCTGACAGTTTCTCCATAGCCAACTAAGAACAGCTATCCTTCTTTCTTCAAATAGTGGCTTCTATCAATGGCAGTTATGCTGCACCAAAGCAACCTAATGTGGCAGCTGCGAGTGGGAGGGATGGTCGGCCCCCATGGCCATAATCCATTTTTCCTTCCAGTTTTTCACCAGCGTATTTTTTATCAGTCCATCTCATGGGTAGACCAGTCTTGCTGAGTAGTCTTCAAAAGCAGCCTGTTTACATCTCATTTCTATAGGTTATAACAATGGATATTTATCCAGAAGGTACTATAGCTGACATTACAGCCCCAATAGTTGAAAGGTGCTCCATTCTGCTAGTAATATTTCCATCTGCACTAATAAATGACTCCGAGTATCCCCAGGATTGCAAATTGGGTCCTGTAGAGGGGTTCAACCCCTTCATACCAAGTTTGCCATTACCTTCCCCATCCCTCCACCTCAACTTTCAGACTCTTTTTTGGGCTTTTCTTTGCTTGAAATTTGCTACATGAAAATTAAGTGGTGCTATGTGGGTCAGCATAAATCTTTGCATATGCTATATTTACTTGGAAGAAAGATTTGAGTTTTTATCCTATATAACTTACCATTAGAATGGAAGGTTGCCTTAGATTCTCTGAGAATATAGTAATGGAGGCAGATGGGAGGTTTTTTGGGGGGGCGGGTTGTTTTTGTATTTTGTTAGGGGTTTTTGAGGTTTGTCTTCCTTTTGGGTAGTACTTGCACAGTTCATGCCTCTTAAGTAACAGCTTGCTTACAGAAAGTATATTTAATAGTGGTAGGGCTGCATATACTTTGAAAATGATACAGAAGAAGTGTTTTTACACAAATGCATCATATCTCTGTTATTCGTTGAACCAGCCTGACTTCTTTCAGGTTTTTGTGTGAGCCTGAAAAAAGCTCTATTTAATAGTAAATTAATTCATCTTTAAACTGGGCTGTTTTTAGTTTAATAAAGGGTTCACTTTCACTCTCTCAGCAACAACTTTCCCACTTTTTTCCAGGATTGACATGTTTTTATTGTGAACATCTGTGAAGTGTGTTGGAGACCCACACTGAAATCATCCTGTATATAAGGCTGTTAGAAGCTTCCTTCACAGCCAAATTACCATGAACTAAGAATGTTGGTTTGTTGCTGCATCCATACAATGATAGCTCTCTCCCTCCTTCCCTTGGAAATAGACAATATGGGGGGGGGGAGGGAATGAGAAATTTAATACTTCACTCCCATATGGACATGTTCTAAAGATTTCCTCTCTACAAATTTATGGCAGTTAAGCTCAAAGAAACAACTTTTATTGATGGCTAATGAAAATTTTCGTGTTTAAAGTTCATGTCAGTATGGGAAGATTGTGAGCTGCAGCACAAGGGTTGGAAAGGATTAACTGCCCTTCTTTTTCTGACAATAATTCCCAGCCCTAAGTTGTTAAACTTTAGGAAAAAGTAAATTTCTTTGGCATCAATAGATGCACACAGCTCTGGAACTTGGAAATAGTTTGAAAATAATCTGATCAGACTGTGTCTAGTAATGTTCATACTTGAAGGTGTTAGTTGAACAGTTAGTTACTTGCATTCAAGTAGTCCTAACAGCATTAAGTATTGCTGTTGCTCTCTTCTTTTAACCATTTATCTTGAATCCAAATGATGTAAATGTAGCCATGCCAGACTGTCAGTTCACATCACCACAAAGGAGAATAGCCTTCACATCAGGCATTAGTTCACATTCACATGATTGAGAGATGCTCTGCGATGTACAGAATCAGATACCCCAGCCTCTCCCTCTGCTGGAGATAGAAATATTTGAGTGGCCATTCCCCTTGTTCTCTCACAAGAGAGTGACCCTCCTTTGGTGTCATCCTTTAAGTGGATGTCAGGCTGTTGCTATAGTTAGTGTTCCTATCAAACCCCAGAGATGATAGCTCAGGGCAAATGGAATAGTGAGCAACAGATTAGCATTCCCCATTGCTGAAGACATTCCTCACTAGGTCATCAGTATTCCTGCAAGGATGGTCCTGCAGCGGCAGCTATTCTAGATAGATGGCAGGCTCCCACCAAGGAGTTGATATTTTCTCTATCAAGGTTCCATTTTTTATTTTAAGCAAGCTGTGCATTCTTAGTGGGTGGCTGGAATTAGGAATTAGGCAAGCAAATTTTATATTTTGTTTCAAATGTAATCTTAAAGTTTCAAGTTGAAATTTAGTTATAGCATTTTATAGATACATTTTAAAATGTAGGGAAAACAAAATATAATCTGAAAACTATATTGCTCCTCTATCTACTGCTGGCTTAGTTCCCAATTCTGGAGGCACTTTTATTGTTCAGAGTTAAAGTAGCCTTTTTTTATGCAAGCATTTGATTTCTTTTGATGTGTTTGCCAACAACTGATGTAGAGTTTAGTCATCTTTATTTTATATTTTAGTTCTGTAAACTGCTCTGATAGTTTATAGAATACAGATTCAGTACATAAATAATTGTTCAATTGAAGTTTGCCAAAGATTGAAGGACATTACTAGGAAGCTCTTTTTTTATGCATTAGATTATAACCATTAACAATAGAGATCTTCTTAGACAAGCTGTTCTTTTATTGTTCTACAGAACTTGAAGAACTATGTAAATATCCCTTTGTGAGTAAATGGGCATACAATTGGCAGCGTTTTGTAAACACATACATCAAATATTTCATTCTGTGGTTTGTGTGACAATTTCCACTGCTTAAACCCTCAACTATAGCTAGTTATCTGCACCATCTTTTATTTCAGTATATATTTAGAACTGGGAAACTGGAGTTTTTGTACTTTCTTTCATAGGTTGCTAGTTTTCAGATATTAGAAAAGTGATATTCTAAAAAGTAATGCATGGGAAGTTCTAAAAAAATTGCAAAGCATTCCATTCCTCCTCCAGACCGTGCCAGTCTGACCATTTCAGGATGGTTCAGTGGTTTTATAGAAACTAATCCTCCAAACTGGAAGAGGTTTTTAGTGTGTTGGACATGGTATAAAGGAGGAATTGAAAAAATTCTCCCAAGATGGTCCATTCCCCAAATGGTAGCTTTTGCATATCTGAATTGTATATGTTGGAATTTCTCTATAGCAGCTACCCTCAGTGTGCATGCTGGATGAGTTGTATTACAGTTCCCAGTACTATGTCTATGATAGCTAGGATTATGAGATTATTATCTAGCACACCTGGGGCGTGCAGTACTGCAACATAGTGCTTCACACATTCTCTCAGGGAGTCATAGCTGCATAATTCTGCACTCTCAATCATTAATTAACTTTTCATGTTTTTTATAAATGAAATGAATCTTTTTAAAACTCTGTGTTTTAATTTACAAGTAAAGGCCAGCAAGTTTTTGGCTAGACTGGCATTTTTTTCTCTTTCTGGGGTACTTTCTCACATTATAGTTGTTGTTCCTCTGAGTAACAGGGTACTGCCATTGTACTAAAAATTTATTCACATTCCATCTGTTATAAGATAATAAGCATGTTCGCTGCTAACTGCTAACGTAATGGGGTCGGAAAGTAGTGCATGAAAATTGAGTTAGTGAATCCCAAAATGGTGAATGCATTCATGGGTAGTCTGTATTTCCAAATGTTAAAAAATTAAGATAAAGAAGTGTTTTGTAACAGGCTCCCCAAGGCTCTTTTAAAATTCTAACTTCTCAGCATTCCAAGCAGGTGCATGTCTAATTCTTTCTTTTATTGGCTTTTATTGTATGTGTTCATTTATAGGAAGCCAAGTCTGATTACTGCAGTGCATCAATATGTGTGTGTGTTCTTAATTGCTGTCTGTTTTCTTAATACGTCACAATTTCTTTTTTTCCCTTTTTATAGGTCCTGCTGGGGATTTACATCTGGCTTCAATGTGAAATTAAGGTAGAAAAATGCACATAAACATGTGTTTCCTGTTAAGATTTAGTGTACTCTGGTTATGCCTGAAGAGTGGGTCTTGTCTTTAGACTGATAACTGCCAGCAAATATAAATGATTGTCCTAGATGTCAAGCGTGTCTCCTCCGTACTGGAGTGAAAATATCCACCTCCAGGTCCCCACGGAATATCATCTACAGAAAATGCTTCATGTTCTAAGGATGAAAGCCACCTAGATTCATGCACCTAGTCTATACAGTTGTTGTGGATGGTTTGCCATCTGAAAGCTCCTCAAGCTCCTGTCTGGGTCCTGTATCTTTTTCTGAAATGTCTCTGCTTCAGGCTTTGGGCCCTGTGCAGACCTGGCTGGGACAAGAGCTAGAAAAATGTGGCATTGATGCCATGATTTATACTCGCTATGTCCTCAGTCTTCTGCTGCATGATAATTATGACTACGATCTGCAGGAACAGGTATTTACATATTTTAGATGTGCTTCACTGAAAAATGAGTATTTGTAACACATGTTTTACATTATCTGTATATGTTGTTATAATAAATAATACATCTTAGTTTCATATTGTTAGAGCAGGAAACATGGGACTTAAAGCACATCCTGAAGTTTAGTTATACTCAGTGGGATGTTTGATTGATAAAGTACCATCATGACATATCACATATGGTCTTTGGAGAACTGAGTTTCAAAAATAATTTGTGATACAGTTTAGAAGATGGGGCATACCTTTTAAGAAACATGATTAGTAAGTCTAGTGATTAGTACTATTTATTTTATTAGAAGAAGGACATTGTATTTTAAAAGTCTTAAAAGCTTGCAATGAACTGTGCTAGATTCTTTTAGTTCCTTTTAAAAAATAAAACTTTAAAGAACAGAAAAGTCTATCTTCAATGTACTAAGCTGTGGTTTTAAATCATGCTTTAACTATAGGATTATAGAAACTGTAGGTTGAAACTGGCATTATCCAATGCTCTGCCACATTCCCACTTGTGTGCTTCTCTTTCTCTTTGCCCCATTCCACTACCCTACACCTCTGTCCTACTGTCCTTGACCTTTGCTGTCTGTCCTATCCCCTGTGCTCCAATGCCCCATTGCCCTCCCATGCTCCCCATTTCCTCGAATTCTTCTTTTGTTCCTTGGTGCACCCTCCCAGTCTCCTTATCTTCTCTTTCTTCCCTTCCCTGCAGCATTTCCATCACCATCCTCAGCCTCTCTCTTTACACTCCACTCTATCTGCTGTACTCTGTGGGATGCTTATATCTCCATCTTTTCAACTTTTTTCATTTTCTGCTCCTTTCCCTTCACTCTCCACGTCATCCTGCTGCTCTCATTGAGCTCTCCACAACTTTCCTAGTGCTCTTCTTCCCTTCCTGCTGTACTTTGCCTTCCCACTCTGGTCACTTACTTACTTACTTAATGCAAATGCTTATATTCTATTTCAATCATATAACATGCAGCTTTCATACAACTCTTAAGTGGGTTCTTTTGTTCCCCACCCCATCTAAAATCAAGTGTGTGTTAATGTGTGCATGTGTCAGGGTGTATGGGCATATATATTAGTGTGCATTTGTGTATGCATTTTCAACTTTGTTATTTTTACTTTTAATCTGAATGGACACCCCCAGCAGTTCCCAACTACTTTGGGACTGTGCCACTTACCCTGCCTCTCAAAATATGTGTGGTTCTTAGCCTGCTGGATATTATACTTCTGTAGAGTATTGAATACACTTGTGTTTATAAACCTTGTTTTGAAAACCGCTGTGCTTGGTTTTGTATTTTATATTTTTCATTTAAGCTGTTCACTTTAAATGCTCTACAATGTGAATTTCTGCTCAAATAAATAAATATTAAATAAATTGTGTACAGGCAAGATTAAGTGCTTTGTTCTATATTGTGAAACACAGTTGGGAAACCATTTTTCTGTTGGGGGCTGCGCACCAGTGGGCAGAGCTGAATTCAGAGCTGGATGGGCTGCTTCCTCTCCACTCGATTGAAGTCTTGAATGGTTAATTGCAGAGAACTTCTAAAGTTAGACCAAGAGCTAAAGATTGCCCACCTTTGCTGTAGAAAACTAGTTATTGGGAGTACTGAAAGCTATGCTCAAGTGAAATGAGGTTGGTGGCTTTTCAGCTATGGGACCTTGCTGATGAAATGTCCAGATTTTTTTTTTTTTAAATTGGCAGGCTAAAACATTTCTCTTGTCCCAAGCATTGTTATAGTTTTGTAGTTATTTGAAGTGCCTGCTCTGCATTGGGATGGTAGATTTATGCTTTCTGTTCTTACTGTGCTATATATTAATTGCCTTGCATTATTTTCATTGTTCATTTTCTGTTTTTTAATGTATTTAGGAACTTTGTAACCACTCAGATAACTTGAATTATTACTTAGACCACTCATAATAAATAACCTATGACTTGGTCTAGAAAAGTTATGGCTATTATGGGAGCAGTCTCTCTTCCTTAAAATATTTTTTTAAAAATAAGTTGCAAGAATGCTGTTGTAACTATATTGGCAGATGTTAAGATTGTTTGCCATAACATCCTTTATGTATTACTCTCCAGGTAGTAGTTTGTGAGTACCTGAGTTGTGAAGCCCCACATTCGCCTAAAGTCCCAGCCCTTATTGCTCTTGTGTCATGGGTGCAAAGAGAATCATGGCTGGGAAATGTATTTAAAAACTGGACCCATGTATTCAACATTATACTGCGCTGCAGTTCCAATTCTTAAGGCCTAGATTCTGATCCTAACAGGGCAGCACATTAATTACTTTTCTTTCCCTACTTAAAGTTCATCATAATTTGTAGGAAAAAAATTAAATGTTGGTTTATTGTAACGCTCATGTTTTGATTCCAGATATAAGCACAAAATATTTTCTAAACAGTCTTGCAAATGGTTGCTTAGACATTGTATGACATGTCACTTGTCTGCTACATCTTTTCTGCCCCCTTCCCCATTCATCTCTGCTTTCTGTACTGCAGTCTTCCTGAGGAAGAGTTCTGCAGTGCTAAGAGAGTGGTGCAGAAGTTTTTTGGTTGGGCTTTTTGTTGGGCATTGAGCAGTGATGCAGTTACTTTCATCTCATAGCCCTGTGTTTGACTCCAGAAAAGTGTGTTCCTTGACGCAGCTTGGTGCTGAAGAAATAGACTATCTTGCCAACCAATGCAAATTGCAAAATGGGGTATGTGCATATGCATATCCTGTGTTCCAGGATTTCTGTAGATATGGCTCATTGCTTAATTTGCAGGTATTGAGACATAAGTGGTTATTTTTTGCTCTGCTACTGCTTTCTGGAAATCTCAACTTTTGTTCCTGATAGGAACCACCTCCTCAACTGCATTCATACCTTGCAGAAATTAGTATATAAACATAGGCTTCCTAGTAATATAGAGATGCTTATTGCTGTACAGAGATATAATTTGACATGTTTATTCCATATGAAAAATGATTGTCTATGAGAAATCACGTGCAGAGAATCTCTTGTTACTTCTCTTCCTAGATCAGTTAACTATACCACAGAATAAAATGAAAAATTCAGAGGAAACACAGATAATTCTAAAAGCTTGAAACTTGAAAATCAAATGCCAAAGAACTCTTTGTTTTATCTTTCTGTCTCTGTCTTACTGCTATATTAATATAGCCTTGTTTAACCCTTTTCTAGTATATTATTTCTTTTCTTATTTTAATAATCTTAAACAATACAATTTAATTTAGATTGACTACTTCTAGCTCCTGGCTTGTGTAGAAGCAATATGTCTGTTATACTTTATGCTGTAAGCATCTGTTATGTGATGACTTTTATTCTGCTAAAGCACATTTAAAAAATGGGAGACTTGCTATACAGTAATATAGTTCAAGGGAAAAGGGGAAGAAAGAAGAGAGGGCTTAAGATACAACTGTATACAAAGTATACAATTAAAAAAGAGTGGGGTTCTCAAAGAGAAACACATTACGGATTGAAGCATAGAAGAAATAATCCAAAATAATGAGAGCCATAGCTTGGATCACTAGGAAGTGTAGATGAGATTTTTTTCTAGAATTGTGTATCTTTGATACTATACTGTTCACATTGACTAGTAAGGTTAGTCTACATTGGCACTTAAAAGTTTGTGAATCCTTTTGAATTTTCAATATTTCTGCATAAATATGACCTAAAATGTGATTTGTTCTCCATGCAAGTCTTAAAACTAGATAATGAGAACCCAGTTAAGCAAATGAGTCAAAAACACACATTTTCATTTATTTATTAAGGGAAATTATCAACTTGAGATCACTGAAAAAAAAAGGTCCATGGTCTTAGAATTGTCATGCATAAGCAGAGTGAATTACCAAATGGCAGCATATGGACTATGACATAATCAGCTGGAAATTGCTGATGTTTTCTGTTTATGAGTGAGCAAGTTCTTTAGTTAAACTCTCCTCAGGATAAGTGTAATATTGGCTTGGGATTATATCATGTTTTAGCCTTTCCATTTCAGGCAGAATCTGCTTGTCCAGAGACACTAAGGACAACTTCTTAAGTGCTTTCTTCTTCCCCCATCCCCCACTTTTGCCTTTAGTTGTCTTGTATCATTTTTTTCTCCAGTTTTTCTGTACATTTCACTTGAACACTGTGTCCCTAGTTGCTGGTTTCATTCATTTCTTTATTTGGCTTTTAATATTCTTGTTAGTGGGATTACAGTTTGCATAGTTCCTGCTTTAGGGTAACTCTGGCATAAAGGCCATTTCATTTTCCTAGTCAGTAAGTTGGTCTTTACCTACCTTTACCACCTGCTATTTTAAGATGCTGCTGCTACTAATTGGAATGAATATTACTACTGTTGCATTGCATTTTTAATAGTAAAGATGCCTGGAGAAAATCTCTTGAAAGGATGGTATACGGAATGTCCTTTATATAAGTAAAACCAAGAATTGGTAAATGGTTCATGGAATATATATCTGTAGTTAATCTCTCCAGAGTCATTCTCCCCCAAAGTGTCTTTCTTAAAAGTCATTAAGAGTTGCAGAGACAATATACAAGAAAATATTGCAGTTATTATGATTTTCAATTTATTTTAGGAGAATGACATCTTCCTGGGCTGGGAAAAGGGAGCTTACAAGAAATGGGGGAAAAGTAAGAAAAAGTGTTCTGATCTTACACTAGAAGAAATGAAGAAACAGGCTGCTGTTCAGTGTCTTCGCTCTGCTTCTGATGAAGTAAGAATTAGCAATATAGTTCAGTTATGTTAAAATTTTGATTCTTAATTGTGATGTAAAGTAGCATAACAATTTTTTGTTCATTTAAAAAAATCTAATTGAAATTGCTATTTTGGGGGTACCTTTTTCAACATAACTAAATTTCAAATGAAATCTGTATTTAATGTGAACATGTTAAGTTCTGCATTTGCTATTTATTGAACTTGAATCCATAATAATTTATAATAGGATTATAATAGGCTCACCACATGTAATCCCTAAACTGTCCTTAAGTTGCTAGCTACTTTTGCTACGCGTGGGTCAGTAGTAAATTTTGATGGCAATACCTGTGTGCCATTGTATTTCTCAGCACAGTGCAATCCATTAGACCAGTTTAAACTCTCTCTGCTCTTTTCAGGAAGGGCAGGAGAGAACTCTTCTGTCCTACCACTGCTTGGCCTTTTCCCTTAAGCTTCAGTTTTTCACATTAGTGCTGTGGTGATAAAAATTCATTTAAAGCATCAGATGAATTAAACTTAACAAAAGGAAAAGAAAAGTAACAAAGATACAATTTAACTGCTGCTCAGAATAATTATGTGTCTCACTGGTTTTAAGGATTTATTTTTTGGATTATATTCCTATTGCAGAGAAATTGATATCTGGAAAAGAAAGTAGGTTCTCTAAGGCCACTTATGACTAAAAAACGTATTCTTCAGGACTGGAAGGATAAAAATATGTCCACAACTAGTCAGTGGTCTGCAGAGTTGATGTTAAGAACAACTTACAAATGAATCACTTATTGATGTAAACTAGCGTTGGATGGTTATAAATTGAAGTGCTTATGTGGAACTTTATATATGTATGTGTATCTGTGAAAATATGCCCTATATATTTTTGTTTCTTTTTCCATTTTCTTTTATTTCTTTTTATTATAACTTTCTGTATTTATTTTTTCTATTTGTTTCTTGTATTCAATTAAGAAAAGCAATAATAATAATAATAATAATAATAATAATAATAATAATAATAGAGAAGAGAAGTAATTTTTTGTTTAAGTATTTTAAATTTATTTATAAGTATTTGTAAGAGGGAGAGCCAGTTCGTGTAGTGGTTAAGGAAACTCTGAGTTCTAGTCCCACCTTAGACATAAAGCCAGCTTGGGCCAGTCACTCTCTCTCAGCCCTAGGAAGGAGGTAATGGCAAACCACTTCTGAAATCTTGTCAAGAAAGCTGCAGGGACTTATCCAGGCAGTCGCTAGGCACCAAAAAACAAAAAAGAAAAAAAATTGTAAGGGACTAGGCCATCAGTCCTATTTAAGCCAGCATTCACTATTTGCTAACTTCTGCTTGAATACATCTAGTAAAAGGGAGTTAATGCCTCTCTGGGTAATTGGTTATACAGTTCATCTATTGTTGTTGTTAGGGAATTGTTCCTAACATTCAATCAGAATCTGTCTTCCAGTAACATAAAACCATTATTCCTTCCTCTGAAATGATAAAAAAGCAGGTCTTCCCTCTCCCCCCCCCTTTTTTTTTTAGCATGGCAGCCTTTCAAAAGTCTGTATTTATTTACTAGTATTTTATGCTGCTTCTGTTGGGCAAACCTAAGTAACTATCACCTCTCTCCTTAGGCTTCTCTCCTGAAGGCTAAATATTTCCAGATCATTTCATAGGATTTAGTTGCTAGTGCTCTAATCATCTCCATTGGCCTTCTCAGGCTTTGTTTCACCTTCTTAAAGTGTGACACCCAGTACTGGACACAGTACTCAAAGTGGGATCAGACCAGTGAAAAGTATGGTAGAACAATTACTACCTGTTATTTGGAAACTTTGCTTCTGCTGATCCATTATATATTAAAAATATAGTACAGTAAATCTGATATTACTTATGCTGCTACTATGTGTTAACAAATAATCGCAGACCATTATTTCTTACTGTATTCATTATCTTAATTAATGGCCTCAGTTCTTAATTTTTTAGTATTCAAAATACAGGCAGAAGGATTCTTTTAGGGCTGCCTTTGTTAAATTGACATAGAATTGAAGCAAATGTTTCATTAAAATCTTTGAAGGAACAGTGTGGTCCTTAATGGTCTTTTGGTAAAATCAGTGATATGGAATTGGGGAAAAGTATATTTTAATTTTAATGCAACTGCATACAGAGAAATAGACTTGTAAAGATTTCTCTGATAATGTAAATGATCACTAGACATGCATTTTATGAATGTTCAGCTATAATTAAATTCAGTTTAGTTTTTTTTTTATTGCAGAGTTCTGGGATTGAGACATTAGTGGAGGAACTTTGTTGCAGGCTAAAAGATCTCCAGAGTGAACAAGGTGAGATTCCATTGTGGGATCAGATTTCTTGGAGACGTGTTAAGCTGCTGTTTCCTATTAATGCTGCTATGATAGTAGCATGATAGGAGCTTCTTCCTGCTGCCAGTCAGATATGTTGGGACTAGAACTTTTACTGTGAGTTCTGGGAATTGTAGTATATCTGGAGAGCAAAAGATGGGGGTAGATTCAGCAATAATAATAAAATAGTAATAGTAATAATAAATAAAACAGAACAAAAACATAATGCAATGCACAGTAAAAGAAGTAATAAATGAAAGGTGATCTAGCATAGTTGAGATTATCCAAATAATCATCTAAAGTAAAAGGAAAGCCTAAAACCTTCAAATTGCAATACTGATTGAGCAGAACCTGATAAAAATCCTGGAGATCTTCAGTGAAAAGTATGAAAATAGGAAGTGAACACATTCAATTTCTGGCCAACTAGTGCAGCCAGTAAGAAGTAAATGTAAGGGCAACAAACCAATTAACTTAAGGGGGTAGTGAAGTAAAATGTGGGCAACCAACTCAATAGCTGACCCTGAGCAAATATAAAAGTGTTCCGAATAGGGTAGGTTGTTAAACTTTCCCTCGGACAATATAGGTGATAAGGAGTTAAGCCTTGTTAGAGTGAATGCTAGTACTTGCTTGGAGGTGTTCTCTTGAAGCATTATAACTAATCTCAGTGAATATTAGTCAGTAGAAATAGTGGGCAATTTCTGCCATAGCTACCCAAGGAGGGTTGAATGAAAAGCAGTCTTCATTCTGCTTTTATCTGATAAAAGTAGCATAGAGAATTCTGCAAGGACAGCTAGAATATCTTTTGGCCAGATGTTGGAGTATGATGCCTTGATCAGAAATTTAAAATCCTGGCCTGTAGCCAGTTTTTTCTATGGTTAGGATTTTTTCTTGAATCACCAAACCCATTAGATTTGCATAGAGATGCTTGGCATATAATTTGCTTATTAAATTTAATAGGATGACTGGGCAGTACTTTGCTGGATTAAGCTTATATGCCTTTTTCATTGGTGGTTCTCTTCATTGGGCATCTGCATAGAATGACTTTTATGTGTAAAAGAAGATGCCAATACAGGGTACCATCATTCTGGTATCAAGTCTCCTCCAACCCCTTTACTAGTTTTGGGAGATCAATTTGTGGCTTTCTAGGTAATAATGAGGGGGGGCAGTCAGGGAGAGGATCACTCAGTGGGAGATGAAATGCTTGAACATTAGATGCTGTAAGCCGAACATATCACAGAAGTAATTGTCCCAAACCTTGGGAATGATTTTATTTGCTACATTTGAGACTTCTCTAGGGGCTGATTTATTGGCTGAAATGTGTTGCTTGGATTACTACATGTAGGAATAGAACTAGACAAGTTGATCTTGAAGGAGTTTGATCACTTGATAGTAAGTATTTAATGCTTTGGGGCATCAATCACTGATATGATTGATTGTTTAAATAGTAAAGCTTCGGAGGAAGCTAAAAACTGGGGGGCTAGTGCAGTGCTTGCAGTTGGCCACTTAACTGAAGGACTGTGTATCTTTATGTTCTGAGTTAGATTGTTTGAACCCAGGTGCTAGATGAAATGTTAAATAATTTCAGTAAAGGGAAGTGGTCATTATCAGGGCATGGAATTACTTCGAAGTAGAAGGAAACAAGTTGGATATTAGTATGTAATCAATGGTGTGCCAATGGGACTCCAGAAGGTGAGCTCATCTTCTAAATTCCCAAGAGATGAGCTATTTAAAATCTTCAGGTCATTATTTATTGTCATAAAGTTTTTATCTCCGATCTTCCATAGTTATAGGTTTATCTTTAGAGAAGCAAAAGAACTTAATTTCAGCAGCCTTGCCATCTTGGGAGAGAAAAAGGGGGATTGTTCCATTAGAACACAACTCATTCTAAATATTTCAACAGAAATATTATAGTGGAACTGTTATATTTTAAGCTGACATGCATAACCCACAAGTTATTTGTGGTACATTTACTTTGCTGTATAAAGGAAGAATTCTGCTGACAGTAGATTACCTAGGTTGGTTATGCTTTGATTCCATCAGTTAATCACAATTTATTTATGGTCAAAGTCCAGAATTCTGTATAAAATATCAAAAAACAAACATACTAAAACTATAATATTAAAAAGATAAATGTGTAGCTAATTGCCTTCTGACATGAAAACCATCTATCTGAACTTAATTACACTCAGAATGTCCTTAGACCAAACATGATGCATCAGTATTTTGTTTTGGTCCCATTGAAATCTTTGGGAAGGTTAGTTGTGACTATTTTAAGTGTATACTGTAGTAATCTTTTTCAACAAACTGTAATTAATGCAACCCATGCTTTAGTACTGTAGTGTGAGCTTAGCCACAATTTAATAACTGCTCTACTAATCTCCAGATAGATGAAATAGTTTACTGTTAAAAGAATGTGGGTGATGTAAATTTGTAAATTCAGTGTATAAGTTCTTGCATGAGTTTGTGGACCAGAATTATGGAATTGATTATTGTAAATAAAATTAATGTGATGTATATTTGTATTGATTTGAAATTGAGTCTGATTAGATTTTTGTACTGACTTTTTTTTAATAGCGGAGGAGAAGATTTCAAAAAGACTTGAGGACTCTTTGCCTCCTGAAATAGATTTATCTCCTGCAGCAAAAGATCAAGTAGAAATGTATGTTTCATTTCTTAAAAAAAAACCCTCTTAAGTATTTTATTCTTCTAAATTAGAAAAGCACACATATTTTCTGGAATGGCCCCAGCCATGAAATAATAATTTTAAGCCATCATTTTATATTAAAATGTTTTTATCTGACTATTAAACTTTTTAAAATTTAATTTTAGTTTGGATGAAAGGTTTTCTTTGCAATATAACTTATTTTCCTTTTAGTGAATGATAACATTGATTTTCATCCTCAAGCAGTAACATGTACATCTTCAGATTTTTACTGTGAAATAAGGTTTTGCCAAAGCACTCAAAACAGATATTGAAACTGAGAATTTGGCTTAGACACATTATTATTTGCAGAACCCAAATCTCTTCAGGCTGGAGAAGCCCTGAAATAATAGAATAAATGAAACTTCTTTCATCTTTTGTGCAGTATCATTATGAGTTTTACTTGGTTAAATAAATAAATTCCACTCAGAATTTTCCCTTGATTAATTACAAATGAGGCTGGCTTCTGTGCCTTTTTGTGTGCCTGATACCATTGACCAAGCAGGGCTTCCTTGGAATCTCACCCCAAATCCATTATGATATGATTGAGATAGGCACACTCCTTTCTGAAAAAAATGAGTCAGATTCATAATCTGGAGAAGTAGAGAGGTGTGTCACAACCTAGAACATCAGAGGATACTGTGTCAGGATACCTGTTATCTCTATGGAGAAACTTAGAAATATATTAGAGGGAAGGGAAGAGGTCTATAGCCTATTTAAGTCCTTCACCATCCTGAGGCATATGTTGGGAGGCAGGTAGGATATTTTACTTTCATCCACATTACAGAATGTACCTTCCCTCCTCTGAAAACACTAGTATTTCCAGAATTTGGCACCAGCCAAATTCTGCATGAAAATACTATTATCCCATAAAGCAAAGATAAAATATACAAAATGCAAGAAATACAAACGCTCTTGGAAAAAGAAGTTTTTGTGTGTTTTACATGCTTTTTTCAGGGCAGGATTATGGCATTATTAGTTATTAATTACAAACTTCAGTTAACAGTCATAGCTTAAGGCTCTATTACTTTGTGCATGAATCTAAGAAGACGACACAGTAAACACAGTGGAATTGCTTTAGGTTATACAGCATAAACAATACACAAGCTTGCATGGTCAGTTAAGACAGTATTGCTAGCAGTTTTGCCACGGCAGTAACTCTAGTGCATTTGGTATGTTCAACTTCCAGTGCAGAACAATTTCAATATGAGCCTGATTTCAGGACATTTTTGACACAATCAATGGCAGCTGAAAACCCCGAGCAAGAAAAAGCACAAAATGTAGCTGACCACTCGGTACTGAATCTGGAAGGAAGGCCTTCTGTGAGAGAGTTTTACTAGTATTATTAATTTTACTGACCCCCTGCTAAGATTGATAAGAACCAAGGGGTACACAGTTTTAATGATCTTGTTGCCATGGACTTGACCATACAAAAGCCAGTAGATGTTTCAGGCACATTATCAAATCAGCCCTCAGAAGTCTTAACAATGGAAGCTTATAATGTTACTATCAACATTTGGGAATCTTGAGAACAACTGAAGAGTTTTGACCTGGCAAGCGGTGAAATGGAGCCAAAGCAAGAGATGTCACTTCAAAGTGAGCCGGCTCTGGATGATGAGGCCATCAATTCAGTTTATGGAGGGATGCAACAATTCATCATATGCACTTCTGATCTCAGGCCAACAATTCAGTCCTCTCAACCACTGGCAGGATCCCAGTACAAAACACCAAAACAAGAGGAAACAGAAGCTATTTACCTCCACCAAAATAGCTATTATGAACCTGTTTAAACAAACTTAGCAGACTGCTAAAATATTGTCTATTTTATAAGTGGTCTCTCTCAAGTCCCTGTCAAGGTTCAGCATGGTCCTGCCCATGAGGGCCTTTTAGTCTATTTGAAAATAATTGTTGTTTTGACTTCTACAATTTATCTGTTTAACAACTGCTAAGCTGATTCTTGTATAAAATGGGAAAAATTGTCTTTCCCAACTTGGTGTCCAACAGAAATGTTGAATTATCCATCCCCAGATAGCAAACAACTAAAAATAGAATATTTCAACTGTGTATTAATATTTATTGGGAAAAAGTGTGTAACAGTATTTTATTTTATTTTAACTACAGTGACAATATTTAACTTGTTAGCGACTTACAGTTTTTGAAGTATAGTAATAGTTTCTTTTTCCCCCCCTGAAATGAGCTAAATAATATTGATTAGTATAATTCATGTTTTAAAACTTTACAGGTCATAAACAGCTAATGAAAGTAAATGTTGATAGTAAAGAGTGAATGCTTAGTTGGTGTTGCAACTCTGCCATTTGGTCTGATTTTGTAAAACATGACACTGCATGTTTGTCTTTTTCTCTCTCTCAGGTATTATGAGGCGTTTCCACCTCTTTCCCAGAAACCAGTTTGCCTGCAAGAAATCATGACTGTATGGAATACATCCAAAATGTGTTGTTACTCCAGTACCTCCTCATCTTCCACTGTCCCAGCAACTAGCACAGATACATCATCTCCAAAGGACTGCATTAGTGAAAATGAAGCATCCAAAGAGAGAAGTAGTAACAAAGCATCTGTAACTATACAGGAGAGAGCCACACAAAAGAATGATAAAGATGAAAAAGAGAATAAGTTTGGGAATCGTATTGAAGGAAAATCTGTTTCATACAAAAAGCAAGTCCGGCATAAATCTGAGGGAAAGATACGTCTTCGATCCTGGTCTTCTGGCTCCAGTGAAGAAGGTTCAAATTCTAGTGGCAATCATGGTGAATTAAAAGCAGCTACAAAATATGTAAAAATAAGGCATAAAACAAGGGAGGCTCGGAGTAAAAAAGGACGGAATGGACAAAGTAGGTATTTGCCAAAAGCTGGTGAAAAAACTGAAAGGAAAATTCCTGGCAGCAGCAATGGATCCATCAAGCAGCTATGTAAAAGGGGTAAACGGCCATTAAAAGAAATTAGACGAAAAGAAGGTGGAAACCATGAGAGAAAAGAGCTATATTTTGATAGCAGGAATGAAACTGAGTATAAGGAGGAGCCTTTATGGTATACTGAGCCAATTACAGAATATTTTGTTCCCCTGAGTAGAAAAAGTAAGCTTGAGACAACATACCGCAACAAGCAAGATGTATGTGATGCAACATCAGAGGCTGTAGAAGAATTAGCTGAATCAGTGCAAGGTCTTTGCATTAGTAACAACAATAATATTAATAAAACATACCTCGCAGCAGGTACTTTCATTGATGGTCATTTTGTGGAAATGCCTGCGGTTTTAAATGAGGATATTGGCCTCACTAGGACCTCAATATGTTCTCCACCAGAGGACAATATACATTCAGATGGTGTTCATCTGTCAGAACTAACACACTTCTATGAAGTGGATATTGATCAATCCATGTTGGATTCTGGTGCCTCAGGCAAGATGCAAGGAGAAAGTCGGATTTTGAATATGATTCGGCAGAAAAGTAGAGAAGGAACTGATTTTGAGGCAGAATGTTGCATAGTGTTTGATGGAATGGAATTGAAAGGGGAAAGTGCAATATGGGCAGATTCAGCCACCTCTGGTGCTGAAGGGTGGTTCTTGCAAGATCTTAGTAATTTAGCTCAATTTTGGGAGTGCTGTTCATCTTCTAGCTCTGGTGATGCAGATGGGGAAAGTTTTGGAGGAGATTCTCCTATTAGACTTTCCCCTACGTTAGACAGCACAATGCTTAATTCATACATGCTTGCAGGCAATCAAGAGCTGTTTTCAGATACTAATGAAGGGTCTGGTTTAAATTCTTTTTCAGTGTTTGAAGTGCAATGCAGTAATTCTGTCTTACCATTTCCTTTTGAAAAACTAAATTTGGGAAATGAAAATACAGATTCTAATAGCAATGTTGGTATGTTTGGGAAAACACAGTCTAGATTGTTAATATGGACCAAAAATAGTGCCTTTGATGAAAATGAACACTGTTCTAATCTGTCAACAAGAACTTGTAGTCCATGGTCATATTCTGAAGAAACACGTTCAGACAATGAGACTTTAAATATTCCATTTGAAGAATCCCCTCAATTTAACTCTGATGATATTAATTATGTAGTTCCCAGAGTATCTTCAAGTTATGTAGATGAAGAAATTGTAGATTTTTTGCAAGAGGAAACCTGCCAGGAACAGACAAGATCTTTAGGAGAAATACCTACTTTAATTTTCACAAAGAAGTCAAAACTAGAATCTGTCTGTGGTATTCAGCTAGAACAAAAAACAGAAGATAAAGAATATGAGACTCCACAAGTGTGTAGTGACAGTAGTCCACATGAAGATGACTATGGCTCAGGAGTTATGAAAGACATCTGGACAAATATGACAGATGAAAATTCTGCAGCAATTGTAGAAATAGAAGGAATAGAAGAGGAACTGTTTCCAGCTGATGTAAATCATTATTGTTGCTGCTTAAATGATGCAAAGGTAGAAATTCTTCAAGGTCCTAACAAAGCAGTGCAAAGATCAGAATACCATCTTTGGGAAGGTCAGAAAGAAAATTTAGAGAAAAGAGGCTTTGCTTCAACCAATTTATCAGAAATAGATTGTGGAGATTATACTACACCCTCTAAATCATGGGATGTTAACCAAGATAAAGAAAGTTCATTTATTCTTGGTGGTGTGTATGGGGAACTGAAAACATTCAACAGTGATGGAGAGTGGGCAGTAGTGCCCCCCAAGCACCCAAAAGGAAACTTACTACAGTGTGCAGCTTCTGATGTAGTCACAATAGCTGGTACAGATGTCTTCATGACACCAGGAAATAGCTTTGCTCCTGGTCACAGACAATTATGGAAACCTTTTGTATCATTTGAACAGAATGAGCATTTGAAATGTGGTGATCATGGATTAAATAGAGGTTTTTCATTTATCTTCCATGAAGACTTGTTAGAAGCTTGTGGTAATTTTCAAGGTGAAGAGTCTGGTCTTGAGTATTCTTTCTCTTCCTTTGACTTAAATAATCCATTTTCACAAGTTCTTCATGTCGAATGTACATTTGAACCAGAAGGAATTACATCCTTCAGCCCTTGCTTTAAACCCAAATCAATCCTTTGCTCTGATTCTGACAGAGAAGTTTTTCGCCCTAGAATATGTGGTGCTGGGAGGACGCAGTACAGAGCAATACGGATTTCTCCTAGGACTCACTTTCGCCCCATTTCTGCATCTGAACTTTCTCCATGTGGTGGAAGTGAATCTGACTTTGAATCGGAGAAGGATGAGGGGAATATTCTTATCTCTTCTCAAGCTGAAGCATTTGATGATCCACAAGCAGATCTGAAACCACTGGAAGAGGATGCAGAAAAAGAAGGGCATTATTATGGCAAATTAGAACTTGAGTCTGGGAAGTTCTTTCCTACATTAAAAAAGTGTGGGATGGAAAAGAGTGCACAGACATCTCTGGACTCCCAGGAAGAATCATCTGGAATATTGCTGGTAGAAAATGAGAGTTCTTGCTTAGAATGCAGTATGAAAGATGTGCAAGACACAATGGCTGTGAAAAATTCTGAAGCTAGCTGCAATGTTGTGGAGCCACAAGAAGAGGAAGACAAGTCTTGCAGTTGCAAAGAAAGCTCATCAGCGCAGCTGAAAGAGGTATGCCCTGGAGAGGTGTACATTGTATAGATAGGTAACAGGTTTCAGTAAAATGATACGCAATTTAATGGATTTGTAATGCCTTTAAAATACATCAGGAAGATTGTGTCAACCGAATTCACAAGATTAGTAACCTTTTCCAATCCAAGGTGCCACTGTGCAATCTTACTTTTTTTTCTTCCCCACAAAAACTGATATTTGAAGCAAAGTAGTGTTCTAGCTGAGCATCAGCCCACCTTCTCAGATGCCTGGGAAAAGTGATATGATTCTGTTCTGAAAATGAACATAGAAGGGAAAAGAGAAACTGCTAATAGAGAGTTTCTACAGAAGGCACATTTTTCAGCTGGTAGAGGCTCATGTTACATTGAGTCCTCCCTCTTTTCTTGCAAATAAAACATTATATATCCGTATGCTTTTGTGCAATTATTACCTAGTCAAAATAGGCATTAACTCTTAGCTTTCAGAGGAAAGATGAGAAAAAGATGCTACTGAATATAAAAATATACAAAAAGATATAATGGCTATGTAAGATTTAATTTTTAAGGGGAAATATAACTAGAATTTCAAGCACTAAATTTTTACATTGCAGCAATAGCCCCGTACACACTTGTCTTATAGTAAACTTAGTTGACTTAAAGTAAACGTATAGGATTATGCTGTGCTTAACTTACTGAGACCAGCTGTTTACATGGAAACATTTAGTAATTTCTTTAAACAGTACCACATTTTGGGGGGATATATGTTCTTTAGAATAAGTAGCATAGTGTAGAGTTACTTTCTATTGCCTCTAAACTAAAACACGATTCTTCTCAAAACAGTTTCCTGTATTGAACAATGACCTTCAGAAAATAAGCTACAATCAAGCAAAACAGTGCTGGTGGGAGAAAGCTCTTTATACTCCACTCTTTCCTACATCACAGTATGAAGGTAGCAGCATCTTTGACCTCTTTGTAATGGACTGAAACTTTACAGCTGAGTTAGATAAAAGATGAATGTAGATGATCATGTTCCAAATAGAAGCCACTTAATCATCTTCTGGAAAATAGTTCCATTCATGTGCTTCCATTGTTTTTTCATCAATGCCATCGTTTGATGAAACTGCTCCACATGGCAGGATCAATGCTGATTAGTTTATCGAATGATTACGGGTACACTGTGATAAACTAGTTCTTGACTATCATCAAACAAGTAGTTCTCATTCTCCCTGCTACCAAACCTGAGTGCTAAGAAATGAGACTATTGAAACATAAGAGTGGCAATATTAATATATGGGGGATGCTGGGCTTTGCAGGCAGAGAATGAGCTATAGTTAACTGCATTAGTTTCTGCTAGCCAGACTAGACTTCAAGTCCTGCTTGGGTACTCCAACATTACATGTATATATCAGTACAAATAGAGTATTGTTCAGTGAACTCTAGGTTCTAGTAGGCTTTAAACATTTAACATGTGATTCATTCTACAGATTTAAACAGTTATCTTCTCTTTCAACTGTTTAAGGCTGTTCTTCCTTTCCCATCTCTCCTCTGCCAGCTCAAATGTGAAAACAGCATTTAAGTTGTTTTGTATACTGTAGGGTCAAACCATAAAATGTGATTTGGGTTCATAAAATTGATATTTTATTTTTTCTTCTACACAATTTTCTTACAAAAAAAGGAACTTTTTTTAAAAAAAGAGATTGTGTAGAGCTTTCTGTGGTGTTTTTTGCCTACTTATATGGAAATATGCTCCACTGAAAGCAGTATCTTGCTTTTGAATGCAGAGACTCAATTTTTGAAAAAGATTTGATGGATTCAAAGATACTTAAAGTGGGATTAAAGTTTGGAACCCACCCACTGAGATGTAACAAGGTTTTTTATCCATCTAAGATTAAATCTGTAGCTTTTAACTAGAAGTTAAACAGTTTGATTGAAAAGCTTACTATTTAAAGTGCTAGCCAATAGGAAGATGCTTACCGAAACAAGAACTTTTCATTTAAAACATATCAACTGTACTAGAACAGCCTACAGAAATGAATAATGGATGCCAATCCTTAGGTTTACAGTCTAAGATTAAAATCCCAGATTTTTTGAGGCATATGTAGATGTAGAATCCTCTGGCACCATTATAAGATGGAAGTATGGGTTTTCCTAATCTTTTTCAAGGAATTTCCTCCCTCCCAATCTTCATGAATAATAACTCTCTGTTGAAATCTTGGCTGGTTTGTGTTTGTGTGTGTGTGTTTGTGTGTATATATATGTA